ACGATATGCTGACTCTGTAAACCGCTTAGAGAGGGCTGAAAGCCCTATGAAGCGGTATATAAGTCTAACTGCTATTGCTATGTGCTTCAGCTTTAGCGTCCCCCTGTACGACACAATCAAAACCGATACACCAGGACAGAGATGGAAATAAGATGAAGTTGTGAGTGATTTTACCTTAGGTGTGTGTTTGTGTACCAATCTGCCTTCAAAGTCCTTGTGTGACCTGGTTCTCACCCCAAGGAGGATTGGGAATAAACAATTCTTAACTACCGTTCAGGAGCTTGTGCTAAAGATAAGGAGAAGAATGTAACCACAGGTAGTCCTCATCTTACAACCATTCACTTAATGGCTGTTGGATGTTACGACAGCACTGAGAAAGTGGCGTATGGCCAGTCCTCGCACATACGACTCTCACCACCTCCCCAAAGCCATATGATCAAAATTCAGGTGCTTGGCAACTGGCAGTACAGGTATTCCTCAATTTATGACAACGGAGCCCAAAATTGAGGCTGCTAAGTGAGAAATCCGTTAAGCGAGTTTCGTCCCATTTTATGACTCTTCTTGCCACATTTGTTAAGGGAATCACTGCCATTCTTAAATTAGTCACACGGCTGTTAAACGGATCTGGCTTCCCCATTGACTTTGCGTGTCGGAAGGTCGCAAAAGGGGACGACATCACTCCAGGACACTGCAACCGTCATAAATGTGAGTCAGTTGTCAAGTAGTCTGAATGTATATCATTTGACAGGTGCAACAGTTGTATGTGTGAAAAAAAGGCATGTTGCCTTTTTCGGTGCCATTTGAACTTTCACTAAATGAAGTTTTGTAAGTCAAGGACTTAATCACCTCAAAAGGTCGTAAAATCAAGCATGACTCACTTAAACCTCCTCGCTTAAGAACCAAAATTCTGTTTGTGGTCATAAGTTGAGGATTAAGTCAACCTTAACTCAAGGTTGATCCAGCTGTACATCTTTCCGAGGTGGGTAAAATGAGGACCCAGAGTGTGTGTGGGGGGCAATAGGCTGATTGTAAACAGCTTAGAGAGGGGTAGAAAGCACTGTAATGCAGTATATAAGTATAAGTGCTATTGCTATCTTCCTTCCTTCCCTCCCAGTGGTTAGAATGCAGTATTGCAGGCTAATTCTTCCAATTGCCAGGAGTTCGATCCTGACCAGCTCATGGTTGACTCAGCCTTCCATCCTTACGAGGTTGGTAAAATGAGGACCTAGATTGTTGTGGGGGGGGAGGCAAGATGCTGACTCTGTAAACCGCTTAGAGAGGGTCTGTAAAAGCCTTATGAAGCGATATATAAGTCTAAGTGATATTGCAACTAAGCAGCTGCAGGAATAATTAAACTTCATCCATGCACAATGCACTACCGTACCCCCTTGAAGGGGTCCTCACCATCAGCATGAAAATTGTCCAGAATGACAACTTTATATATATAGATATATATTTATGTAAAACATTCTCAGCAAAGTTATATGCAATAACATTAGTACAAACCGATTTTAAGTATTTACAATGTGTTTTGCGGAGACCTGTTTGTTGAAAGAGAATCCACCGGTGCATTTTTGAGACCCAAAAGACTTTCTGACCAGCATAAGACAACCGTTTGTCACCAAGTCATTTTGGAAGGTCATGACTGGCTGGGGGAATTCTGGGAGTTGAAGTCCACAAGTCTTAAAAAATGGTCAAGGCTGGAGACCTCTGGCTTAGACTTAATCCCAAAGACAAAGAGGTATCGATTCTTCGTTCCCCACTAAATATTCAAGGATTTTCTTCTTACTTTTGGGTGTCAGAGAGGCAGCATTTGGGGGGGGGGGGAGGATCAGTGAACACACTAAGGTAGAAGAGGGGAGCCATTTTGATCCAGAAGGCAACCTTAAAAGTTGACAGGGAGAAGAAAACGCATGTTGGCAGTGGATGAAACACTTTTGCTTTGGTCAAATGCCGAGGTAGCCACGGTTAAAAATCAAACCACGTTAGCTGGATTGGGGCACCTTGTGAAAGCTTCCCCGCCCCTAACTTGAGTGCCACTTTACCCTGGGAATTTAATACTGTTGAAAAGAAATGAAATACACCAATGTCTTCTCAACTTCTTTTTAAAAAAAAAGATAGAGAAAGCAAACGACCCAGTATGTTGGATATTCTAAGGCAGATTAATACAGATCAACAAACCCGGCCCTACATCTTTGTAGGTAATAAAAAAAAAAAAAAAAACAATAATACTGTCTCCGTTCAAAATTAAGACTATGAATTTGGAGGCTGAAAAAAGTCATCCCTAAAAAATAGACCGTGTTTTGGGAAGGGGAAAAAAAAGACCCTTTCCCCCATCACAGCAAATCCTATGATCCTTGGATACTTTGGGGGTATCCAAACATGGTGACTTTTAAGACCTGTGGACTTCAACTCCCAGAATTCCCCAGCCAGCCATTGCATGGCTGGCTGGGGAATTCTGGGAATTGAAGTCCAGAAGTCTTAAAAAGTCGCCAAGGTGAAATACTGCAGCTGTAGATCAGAGGCGCCCACAGCTGCTGTGGGAATGGCTAGGAGTTGCTTGCTTGCTTATAGGTCAGAAAAGATTGCATCTCCCATGCTTACCTGAACAGTAAAGTTAGAGAATTGTGGATTTTCCATTCCCTCGCCCCTCTTTGTCTCCAATGGACAAGCGTTTTCACAATTGGGATGTTCGAGAAGGTGAGACGAGGCATAAGGTCAGAGTCTCCCTCCATTTTTAGCTGGCTAAAAATTACGGAGCTTCATTTGAAAACCGTTGTACGGTTTAGCTTTCCCAAGACCTAAAATGCCCATCCAAAATTTAGAACTCCCCAAGATTTGGAAGTTTCTCTTTGGGCAACTTGTCATATCCCAAGTTCCCTTCCGCTTACGAAATAATTCAAAACACATTCAGTGCTTTTCCCTTTATGTTCTTGCTACTCCTAAGCCTTTCGACCGTGCTGTATTTTTCTGCAGGGGGGGAAAGAAAAATAAATCTTCAATTACCTACCCCGTGAAAGGAAATTTAAGTGTTTTGCCACACTGCACTTTCGGTTAACACTGATACGGCTGTTATCAGTAGTGGAAAGCATAAATTGGAAACCCTGTAAAAAGTTCACTACATTATTACAATTAACACCATTTGGCCTACCAACCTATTTACATTTTAAATTAAAAACAAAAAAAAGGACTTTAAAAAAGAAAGTAATCAAAATACATCTTTGCCCCCCTCCCCCCCCAAGAAAAAAATAACCCACCAACCAACAACAACAAAAAAATGGAGAGAAAAATAATTAGACTGCAGAATTCAACAAACGAAAGAAGAAGAAGAAAAAATTCGGTCCCGGGAACCAGATCGAAAAGTCTGAAAGTTTGGCTTTCTGTTGCGTTGTTGTTGTTATTGTTGTACGTTGTTGTTGTCTGTTGTTGCTTAGCAACCCGAAGAGATACTCGGCACGTGGAACCAGGCCTTCCAAAGGGGATCAAAGTCTGCCTAAAGGAGCCGAGAGTGATTAGACGGGTGTAAAAGTTTGCTTGTGACGCTACGTTGGCGTAATACGGTTAGTAGAAGAGACAGCTCTGCAACCTTGATCGCGTCCTGCGAGGGATTTCCCCGGAGATTTTAATCGAAGCATTTTTTTCTCCTGCCAAAGATTGAAGAGATGCTCTCCTTGCCCCCCCAGAGACACAGAGAGAGAGAGCGAGAGGCTTGTGGTGTTGGCATCGGTCGCTTCTGGAGTGGAAGGCGGCAGTTTGGCAGTTAAAAAAACCGGGGTTTGACTTTGGCAACAACACACACACAAAAAAAAGAGTTTGTTTGTTTGTTTTTAAAAAGAAAGAAAAACCAACCACGGGCCACTGCGCCCGGGTGCCTGTAAATGGTTTAGAAAGGAGTAAAAAAAAAAAAGGGACACGTTCACACACACATCGGCCCCTTGGAGGGGAAGGTTTTTTTTCCTGCCCTCTGCTCTCGCCGCCGGGCCAAATCCAAGTGTCTCTGCTGTTTTTCATATCACAAAGGAGGACTTGTGTCTAAAATCGCCCTGCAGCAAAAGACACAGCACAGGCTTGTTAAGATGGGGGGGGGAGGGGGGCAGGGTGTTGCGTTGTTGCGTACCTCCAGGGGTGGGCTGGTGGGGGTTTGCAGCGGTTCGGGAGAACCTCTAGCTAAGATTCTGTGCAGTTTGGAGAACCCCTAAATCCCACTCCTGGCTGGCCTCGCCCTTCCCAGGAGTCTCCACGCGGCCCATTTTGGAAGCAGGTCAGAGGTGGGTTCCTACCAGTTCACACCAGTTCGGTAGAACCGGTTCGTCAAATCTACCGAACCGGTTAGAAGAGGTTCCACCAGTGGACCCGGAAAGCAGGCCACACCTACAGAAGAGGTTCCAAAATTTTTTGAAACCCACCACTGACAGACAGACAGAGACAGACAGACAGACAGACAGACAGACAGACAGAC